TCTTCTCTCTCTCTCTCTCTCTCTCTCTCTCTCTCTCTCTCTTCTTTTTTTTAGATTAAATTGCTATAAAATGTTTGCTATAAAATGTTTACATAATACTGAAAACTTTTCATTTTTAGAATGTACCTCATTTCGAGATATATAAAACAAAATACAGAAACAACTGTGATCTTTAGTGGAGAAGGCGCAGACGAAGTAGCACAAGGCTATATTTACTTCAGAGATGCACCTAACGCAGTAGACGCGCATAAGGAATCTCTTAGATTATTACAAGATATATATTTGTACGATGGTTTAAGAGCGGATAGAACAACTAGTGCTTTTAGTTTGGAGCTCAGAGTTCCGTTTTTAGATCTTCAATTCACCAACTATTATTTGTCATTAAACGCTAATAGCAGGCAACCACAAAGTAGAGTAACGACATATAATTTGCAAATGATAATTTTTACTAATCAAATAATCAAGCATTATTCATGTTATCTTTATGTGCACAGATGGAATTGAAAAACATTTGTTAAGATCTGCATTTGATGGAACTAATTTATTACCCAAAAATATACTTTGGAGACATAAAGAAGCATTCAGTGACGGCGTCGCTTCTATAAAGAAATCTCTTTTCCAAATAATTCAAGAAATAGTGGAAGATCGTGTTTCTAACGAAGATTTGGAGAATGCTTACATCAAATATCCTCATTGCACGCCAAGAACAAAAGAAGCGTACTATTACAGGTAACAGAATAGAAATATCTTTAAGAATAGAAATATCTCTAAACTAATCTTGCCTTTTGACTAATTTGGACGATGAATTATCTTTTTAGAAATGTCTTTGAATCGCATTACGAGGGCCAAGCGGAAAGTTTCACTCCTTACTTTTGGATGCCACGTTGGGTGAAAGGCATCTCCGATCCATCTGCACGATTTATTAAACATTATGCTGCAAACGATGAAAAAGATAAACTGACAACTATTTGAAAAAGAAAAAATATATTAAAAAACCAAAGAAGGAAAAACCTCTTTTAAGAAGTAAAAGGATCAATTAAGTAATAAATCAGGAATATAAATAATTATCATCTAGCAGATATTTTGATGCTTTAGATATAAGTTTTGGAAATAATAAATATTATATGCAACAAATTTAAAAGTTTAAATAGGCCTTGTTTCAATGTACTATCACTGAAAATCTGTAGTTCAATTATTTATACTTTTAGTCTAGTAATAAACTTTTCTAGTCTAATTAAACTTATAATCTTTTATATTTTTTTCTTATAATATGTTATAATCACCATTATAAAAAATTGAAATACTAATATATTTTTCTTAAATAATATTTAGTCTGTGTATATTTTTTATTAAATAAAATTTCTGCAAAATGTTTATTATGTCATGAATGCATTGTTATTAATTGATATATTGTCTGGATTAAGATCACTATTAAAAATTTTTAAAAAAACTATCTTCTAGATTCATTAAGAAAAAAAAATTGAAAGAAAGATTATAAAAAGCAATTGTACCCCTGGTGGGACTCGAACCCACAATCCCCGGTTTAGGAGACCGATGCCTTATCCATTAGGCCACAGGGGCTATCGATGCTCAATCTCCTTCATAAGAGTATATATTCTTGATATTCTTTTTTTCACATGAGAACAAAAATTTAAAAATAAAATACATATGTACTACACGTAAATAGGATCTCTATTCTAGAAGAAAAGAGGAGGCAACAAGTTTATTCCATTTACATTACTTATGTACAACTCAAGAATCACGAGACACAGAGAAACAAAACAAGCAAGCGAATCAACCAATTACAATCGAGAACTTCAAGACGATCGTCTCACGATTGGTCGAGTTCATTTCTGTCGTTCTTTAATTTTCGTTGAAAAATCGCTGTTGACTAGTGTTGACTGTCGCGTTGTTGTTAACTGTACAAATTTATTTTTCGACGAATGATTAAATGACGTAGCACGAATAATTTCAGACTCTGTTTATATGCACGTAATATATTTTGCCGCGTGTGTTGTTCTTTTTTTGGAAAAAAGTTTGCATTGAGCTCCCATCAAAGTTAGGTTAATTTCAAGTCAATAATGTTTGCCACACGTGTTGTTAAATATCTTTCTAAATACTTATATCACGGAGCTCGGCGTTTAATCAATGGTAATTATCAAATATAATACGCTTAATGCGCTATATACAGTTTCTGTCAAAGGGTGAAGAATAGTTAATCAAATTCTCAAAATCAATTTATTAAATGACAATTAATTTAATTAAAGTAATCGTTCGTTAACTTTCTAATTTTATTCGATTCATTGCCTTCAATTTAAATTTTCTCTCTGTGTCTCCTCTCTTTGAAATGATTAATCTCATTCATGTGATTGTAGATATTACTGGATAAATTTAATTGTCAATTGAATTAATTGAAGTCTAATTGAAATTACTTATTAGTGACATTTCATTTTATATAGATCATGCAATTTCGACACCGACGGAAGTGCGAAATGAAGGTAGAAATGAAAATCACATTGTCTGGCTCGATATGGAGGTGCACAATTATTATAAATTGTCTAACATGATGAGAGAAAGAGGAAAGTTGAAAAAGATCGGATTTTTCAGATGACAGGGCTAGATGTAGAAAAATGTCATATCTTGGAAGTTGCTTGTTTTATAACTGATGAACAGTTAGAGCTTGCTAGTGATTATCTGAACATCGTTGTGCATCAACCAGATGAAATCTTAGAGAATATGTCTGATTGGTGCAAACTGTATCATAAAAAGGTAATTGTATATCTCTTCTTTTTTTTGGAAATGAAAATATATTTTTCTCATAATGATATTTACTAATTGTTATTAATTACAATTGTTATAATTCTAGAATGGCTTGATCCATGATTGTCAACAGAGCAAAGTAACACTGGAGGAAGCTCAAGAAAAAACGCTAAGTTTTTTAAAGAATCATGTACCAAAAGGAACATGCCCGTTGGCTGGTAACTCGATTTACATGGATCGCATATTCCTAAAAAAATACATGCCATTGGTCGATGATTACTTGCATTATAAAATTATCGACATTAGCACAATTAAAAATTTGGCAATGTAAGATTTGAAAATATTATGGTCATAATTTTCACTTCATTTAATTTTTTATAAAATTAAATTAAGAACTGTTTTATCTAATATTTCCATATAGGAGATGGCAACCGAGCATAAGTAAAACAGCTCCAAAAAAACTACGTTACCATAGAGCTTCATACGACATAAAAGAAAGTCTATATGAACTCCGTTACTATAGAAAACATTTATTTGTATCACAAACTCAAAGTTAAAATAAAAATAGATCATTCATCTTTCGTGTTGATTAAGTAACCTATATATTTGTATATTTATATAAAATGCAGGTAAATGCTCAAGATATACCTTTTCAATAGAACAATTCCTTACTATTTTGTAAGAGTAGTTTGTTGTTGTTTTGTAGTCTCTAAGAGAATAAATTTACACAAAAGTCTAAATTTAGTAGCATTTCTTTTTATTTAGCACACTTATGTCCACTTCTTTCAATATAGAAACTTAATTTCAATCTCGGTTTAACTTATTTTTTTCAATTTTTTTTTAAACCGAGATTAAAATTAATCCACAATCTAAGAAATTATTAATAATATTAAATTATTAAAAATCTATACTAATCTATATTAAATATTTATATATAATTTAATTTGGTTTCTCGTCCTAGTTTTAGATAAATTCCATCATCTAAAGAAAGAGTATCTCGATCATATATACTCGTAGACACGCATACAGCGCCGATTGCATTTGTGTGCCTTGCGGTTCGAGATTCATGTAGGTCAGTGCGATGTCGGTCGGCGTAAATGCACCGGGGTGCGGCGCAGGGCACGCGAGCGACAGTCGACGGTAGTGGTTGACGGAGTCGTGGGACTAGTTGGAGTCGCGCAATCGGGACTGATCGAGAATGCTCGCGGCTGACTGCCGCGCGAGAGAGCGAACGGGTGATGGCGAGTAGCGATGGTGGTAGTGTTGGGTGACGGTGGTGACGACCGCCGCAGATTTTTTTAACGAATGGCCCTGTCCGAGGTGCATAATTTGGCCGCGATTACCGGCAGCAATGCCTTCGCCATTGGCAAGGTGAGGACATTTTTTTCTCTCTCTCTCTCTTCTCTCTCTCTCTCTCTCTCTCTCTCTCTACTACTACTACTACTCGCTTCGTCGATCCGAAGGATCGAAGATTTCCTTCGCTGGCGAGTTTCATGGAAGTTCGTGTCAACGATTTCTTTCATTTAGCTGCATCGCAATACTCGTAAGCATACACTCTCTACACTCGAAATGACATAAGCGTATATTGCACGGAGAGAAAAAGAGGAGGAGATTGCGCGGGGAGTGTGGTCAGAAAGAGGAGCACAGATCCATCGTGCCGTAGATGTGAGGAGGAAAACCAAAGGGTGCGATCCGCGTTTGTTAGAAGCCGTTATACCGAACGGGAAAATGAGAGAGAGAGAGAGAGGAGGGGAGGGGGAGGGAAGAGGAAGAGAGAACGCCGCGTGAGATTGTCGCGTTCCGAGAGTATGCAAATAGTGACGATATTGGCCCCGTGTCTATCTCCATCCTCGTTCATTACGTTCGACGGGCGACGATATTCGGCGGGTATTATTGGATCTGTCCCTTGGTTGCGTGTGTCTCTCTTTCTCTCTCCATATACGTGTGTGTGTATGTTTGTGTATGTATGTGTGCGCGCGCGCCTGGGATCGTGACAGCGACGGCTCCGACTTTTCGTGGGCTGCGAGTACGATTCGTTATTATTGAGATTCTTTACTTTGTCGGCCGCGGCGCGATGTCGCGCGGCGTCGCCCGAGCCTCCCTCGTCGCGCCGTTCGAAAACAATCGATAGATTCGTCCACCGCTTGGCCCGCGACGCGTACACCGTACGAGGGATTCGCGGGAGTCGCGTTTTCGCAAAGGTCGTCCCACCTCTCGAATCGTCCTGTCGTCTCACGTCGACCGATTGTCTTCCGCAGAATAACGAGACCGAGCACGGTGGTGTCAATATGCTGGAAGTACCGCGGAAGGTTTACTCCAGGGATGAAGTGCACGGCGTGGAGTACAATCAGTGGGGTTATGATTTAACGGGTTGCGGCACAAAAAGAAACGTAAGTAATGCAGTCATTTTTTTTCCTTCAACTTTTCCTGCAGCCTTGAACGTCGTTAACGTCGTGCTTTGAACGCGATCTGTTTAGATGAACGTCGAGGACGAGGACAGTCAAGATTTAAACAATCCCATGGTCAATGACTTGGTATCGAAGATCCTCGATGAGGACCCTATTACCATTGATACCTGTCAGAATAGTTACAACAGCGGAGGTACTACTCATTATCAAACGGACTCTGCCAATTCCTGCCGCAACCAGGCTCTCGTGGACAGGATAAAAGCTAATCTAGCTAATACTGATCAAACGGTCTTGCGTTATCCGTTCAGCATGGTACACGGCATTCGCAAAGCTAAAAGAGAGTATCATAATTCCAACAATCTCTGCAATGACTTGAAAACGTTGAATCTCGGCACGTGCGTACAACAGTCCATGGAACAGAGTAATGCGTGCAGCAACGACATGGTGTCAAACGCGTATTCGTCTGATCCACGTTCGCACGTGGTACACTCGAACGATGGAGCGACTATATACACGAGCGGGAATGGAATGCCGCTGTGCAACGACCTATTGACGACTACGAGCGGAGCGAGCTACGGTAAGCAGTCCGGCAACTGGACGGAACCCCTTTTAACCCCCTCAGTGGGATGCCACAGCGAATTGGTTGGGGGAGGACCCCCTACCTACTCGAGAATATCAAATTGCGCTAAACCGGATCTCAATTTTAACGTCACCGCGCTGACTCTGGCTCTGGATTCACCAAATTCGATTCCCATCAGCGAACTCGAGTATCACAACAGTATGAGGCAGAGCACATCGAACTCGTATAGTAACACTATGATGAACATGCATGACGTGTACGGCGTTACCGGTAATCCTAGTCAGGGTCCTGGCTACAGGCCCAACTCGGCGATGACTGATTTAAGCGTCGATTCCGGCTTCTTGTCAAACTCACCGTTACAACACTTCTCGCCCGCCGACACGGCTCTACACACCTGTTTCGGGAGCGGCATGCAGCGCAACGGCATCGGTGATTTCAAGGACGTTCACGATAGCGCCGCTAGATTAAATATGACGAATATTAGCATACCCAACGAGCAAATACAATTCCTGCAGTCACAAGCTCGTAGCTACAAACTGGATCAAGCTGTGGACCAAGATTACAAAAACTTAATTGATTACTATCCTCCTGGTACAAACAACTTTGTTGCATCCTCGGCGAGTAATTTAGACACGAACGAGAACGTTTGTTTCCCTAGTGATTGTAGAATCGATAATAGCTTATTAAAGATGATCAATCCGAAATCAAAGTCCCTCGAAACCAAGACATATTCGCCGATAGGTTTCCCAAAGAATCTGAGCTCGCGCAATTTGTATCAGCCTATCGCCAAGTACGGCTGTCACAATTATCAACAGTACACTGCCAACAGTGGCGACAGTTTGAAGATACTGCAGCAAAATTCCACATTTTATCACAACGACTTGAAGCAGCCTAAGGTCAACGCGTACAAACTCGACGGGTTCGACTTGACCAAGGAGATCGCGTTTCCCTCGGGAGGTCACTTGACCGACCGCATCGCGGGATCCACGCTGGACAAGGAAGCCTTCAATCAAATTATGAAACAACGACACCATATACCGAAGTTACAGAGCATTCCAGCTGGAATCCCACCGCCCGACATCATCTTTAACTCGGGGATGATATCGGGGACGAATACCGTAAGATCGGGGGCATTTCCATCCGTGATGCCAGTCCCCGTTCCCGTACCGGTTCACCCTGTTCCGCGACTGTTTTCCGCTCTCTATGGCGGAAATTTGAGCTTCAGGAACGGCAGTGGCGCGGCCAGGAAGACAGGCCCTTCGAGCATATTACATTTTAATCTCGAGCAAACGTACGAGCAATTCAAACAGTTGGAAAAGGAGCGCAAGAAATGCGAGGCCGGATTGGCCGCGCATTTCCCGGGGAAACGAGTGACCAGCGCGAACAACATACCCATCCCACGCCTTCAGGGAAATCCATCGAGGGTGGATCGTTTGATAATCGATTACCTGAGAGAACACGCTCGTGTTATTACATTGATAGCAAAGGTAAATTATTAACGTTGTCTACGAACATTTTTTTTCTCTATATAAATATAATTATTTAATTATATAAAATTAAAAAAAATAACGATAATTAGCGATAATAAGCGGTTATTTTAATTTAAAAAGATAAAAGAAATTAGGCATCTAAGATCCTGCCTTGCCAAATATCTGTTATTTACTACATTTAGTTAGTTCGAACAATATTTTCGACTTATATTGAACTATTTTAAATTTATTGTCGTTCATATTTTTTATTTTACGTAACATACTAAATAAATATATGCATGCATATATATATGTGTGTGTGTGTGTGGGGGGGGGTGGTAGATGGAACGTTTACGCGGGACCACGATGAATCAACGCGTGCACAAAGCCATGGAGTATTGGCTGGAAGCTATCAAGTACGTTCAGGAATGTCGCAAACAGGAGATTGCGAATGCTATTAAACGTCAAAAGGAAAATCCACATTGCATTTTAGCATACGATGACAATGGTGAGTGTCATAGTTTTTATAAATATTTTCTTTAGAACGAATACGAAACTACTGCAAGTATTAAAAACTGATTCGCGACGGTAAACCGCTCATGCGCAATTAATTTACTTCCAAAATAAAAATCTTCAAAAGTTTTATTTATTTTTGACACGCAAAGCGAACAATAAAATTCTATGTTCTAACGATTTTTCAAATTTTCAATTTTCTTACAGATTGAAATTTCGGAAGTAGAAGTTTTTAAAGTTCTTAAACAATCTGCTTTAAACGATAAAGCTCTTTTTAAAATCGATTAAAAAGTTTATGAAGGTTGGAGCAACTTTTCTAATTATTCTTTCATTCAATTTTAAAAAAGTAGAACGAACGTAGAGATGTCAATACATTACGTGATTAAAAAACGTAATGCCAGACGTAACAAAATTACCGTAAATGTTACAAATTAATTTGAGTACATGGCAATGTAAAATATTATTGGATTACATGTTTAATGTCGAATACCGTTATTTGCAATGTTTACGACGTGTGTGCAGATATTCTGACTTTGGCTGGAAGTGTCCACGAATTAACGAAGGCGTCGCGATACGCGCGGACCGGTATGTATAACGCACTTCAGGCTACGCTACTTTATGACTTGGACATAGAGAAGAAAGTCGTCGAGACTTCTAAGGACCCGGTCCTAGAGGCAAAAACCCACAGCGAAAGTCAAACGAAAGACGGAACCAACGATTACACAAGCAATACCTAGCAAACTTGCGCTGAATCCACTTGGTATCGCTCATCTTAAAGTAAACTAAAAAAAATCGAGAGTCCAGCAGCTTTTTACTTACGTACAGTATTACGTTTTTGAAAAGCTTTTGCTGGTGTTTACGATTAATTTACTGTTGAAACAAAATGCCGCCCATTAAATTCAAAACTTTCTCACTCGCGATACACGAGGTAACACATACGAATGTGAAAGCGCGAAACGGACATTTGGAAAAAAAAAAAAAACGCGTGCGACTTTTTACAGGTTATTAATAACTCCATAGTTTTCTACCATACGTATTTTAATGCTTACGACAGTATAACCGACTTAGCTTTTCGAGGGCACCGATTTAGATACGAGAGTTTCGCTGAACTGCCTATTCTTTATCGGTTTATCTCTGTCGCGTGTCAAAAAAAAGTAAGAAAATATATATATCGCTTTTTCCTCGACGCCAAATGGAAATAAACCGAGAGCAGTGTCGATCGTGTTTGAACCGGTGAACGGCTGCTAGCTTTGAAATCGTTGACGACTCGTAACTCGCGACAAGAACGAGATTGCTCAGATGTATTACATCCTTTAGAGATATGATAGAAGTCGTTCTTTGTACAATTACTCGTTTATATACGTATCTTAAGTTAAACGAGATATAGATAGGCAGTGAACGCCGATGTACTCGTTCAAAATGTTCGGCAATGACTCGTTAGATTAGATCAATGTGGCCTTCCTTGAATGTGTGACCCATAATGTGGTAGTAGATGTTCCAGGATTTGAATATTTCGCGAAGTGTAAGTGCGATGTTTAATCGCATGCAACACGAGCTTATACATATAAATATACAGTTTATATATATATCTACAAATGTAGATATATATAAAAGCTTTCATATATTATAAAATATGTTGTTTATATAGTCTAATGTCAAACTTTTCACTACTGATATCGCTCCGGATGTATTTCTCACTTGACGAAAAAGTATTGACATATACGACACGCACATACGCGAGGTAATCCATCTACATTACATCTACAGATAAACGCACAACGACATTCGGCTACACTCGCACAGTAAAATATTTGCACAGTACATACATACGTAAATATGTATATATGTGCGTGTATACATACATATATATATATATATATACATACATATATATATATATATATATATATATATATATACATACACATACATATATACGTAATATTAATTTATGTCGTTGCTGTGTGTTGCTGTTCCTGCTTTACAAGTCACTTATTGTTATATTCTGTATCAGATGTAACGTTGCTGCGAGCGCAGCGAGAAACGAACATATCGCGATGAAATCGCGATTAATGCCGATCGCGTACTTGTAACTTGATGCTAATTAGTACCTAAAGTTTCTATTATCTGGCATTTAATTACGCCGAAAGAATAACTGAGGTCAATCATCTTTCGCGCGCGTGTGCTTTGATCTCTCTTTCGTGATAAATCGTATCGCATATTATTGTATAAACTCCGAAAAGTTCGCCATTCCAAATTGTCTTAATCTTTCATCTTTCAAGAAGATGTAGATCTGAGATAGATAGATTCGGAAATTAAAACTCCTCACAATCGCGCTCATTGTGACACTTGATTTTTTTTCTTAATCGCACAATTCGTATGGTAGTTCAGTTGTCGTCTGTTTCTCTTTTCCGAAAAAAAGAACGCGAAAGTTGACGCGTTTGAAGGAAGTACACGCCTGTCTTACGAACGTCCGAATATAAAAGTCTAGTGTAATGCCGCGCATCGATAAGAGCATTAAGAATACAGCATATGTGTTTGACAATCCCTTATAAACTGCATGCGATATGACGTATTATTACAACAAACTTATGCGTGCACGGACACACGCGTACACATTCACATGCATACGAACGCGTCCTACATACACATATCAGTATTTTGAAACCCGGATGACCAAGTACTGGCTATGAAGTGGAAAAGTGATGTATGCTTTGCGATGAGGATTCAAGAATCGAAAGAAAGAAATAGAGAAATAGAGAAGAAAACTAATTTGCAAGATTTGATTTTGAGTGTAGAACCACGTTTTAAGCGAGCTTTGCAAATGTAGTGAATTTTAGTAAATAGTATTCGTGTTTTAAGCTTTTCGATTGATGTTTGATAAATCAATAACAGTTTTCGTGAGTTCAATTTCGATAGTTGTTAGTTGCAAAAGTAGGACTTTACGTAACATTACAATTTTCACGCAAATAAATATTAATAAATAAAGTACTCTTGAATATTTGAAGCATATTTGAATATTTGAAATCTGAGCTCAGCGATATTATACCGGTTTTAATACGTTCACTGCTAAACTCAGATAAAATGTATTCTTTCTTATACTTCTAAGCCACTAGGATGATACTGGTTATTCTCGTTTCAAGTAATGAATACGATGTATATGTGAACGGCTGTTTTTTGACCAACGGCATTTATATTATCTTTATGAAATAGCTTCTTTTCTTAATCAAGATAACGTCACCATTGACTTTAATACGTTCTTTTTTCACCTAAGAAACTTTTATATATAATAATAATTGTGTTTGAGATAATTATCGAACTCTACAAGATTTGTCAAACGTGATTTTTAGATAGCCAGCTAACATTCCGACTGAAGGAAATGCCGTTCGTTGAGGACACGCTGCCTATTGTATGCATATGCTGTATGTGTATGCGTGCTCGTCACAAAGCAAAGCAGTATAAGTGTGCCGCGTCCGTATATGTAAATAAAAAAAAAGCGATGTCGTAACAATATAGCCGAAAATATGGCAGAAACTGACCAATGTTCGAGGTGCGAGACTGTTAAACTATTGATTACCATATATGTATCATAAAAAGCGACGCTCTATATATATATACATAAACCAAACATTTGTGTAAATTTTCATCACGGTATTTATCGCGGTGAACAAAGTTGTGAATTGATAGTTTATAATTGAGAAAAAGAGAGATAGTTATAACTTCTCTATTTTTCTCTCCTAAGATTGATTTAAGAAGACACATTAATTGCTTGGAGAAACTATTTCTGAGAAATTATTTCTTTCAACATTAAACTGTCAATTTCTGTCCGAGGAATGAAGTGCTTGTTTTATGTATATATGTCATCGTGTTAAAACTTAAAGAAGTTGCTTTTCCGATGAACGCACTTGTCGAGCATTCGTGATAGCGATTGTGTCGTTATTCGATAACGTCGTATCGTAAACTCATATCTCTCGTCGTAGGAAAATCGCGAATCTCGTCCGCCATTAAATATCGTGAAAGTATTTCTCTAAACGGCTTGTAAGATTAATGTTAAATTGATGGTAGTGCGTTAAATTGCGACCGACACGTATTCGGAGCTGTCAACGCGTAGTCGATTGAATAGTTATTTTTCTAGTTGTTTTTCTGTCCTACTTAAAGAGACTCGTCGCGAGGCCGCTACTTGCGATATGTATTATTCGTTACTTGCGACTTGTGTTTATAGATTAGCGGTTATTGATTTGACGCGACCACTTTGTCATGTCCTAAAGTGGCAGAAGCTTTTGTAGACGATCAGTATTTATACGTTGATAACTGAGATGTTGATTAATATCTAAAGTTTTAATGCGTTTGTTACTAATTTTTTTTTTTTTTTACTGGGTCAAACCCGGTTCAGTTCTTTTTTACTACACGTTATGTAAGCTTTATAGTTGATTTATCGTAGTTATTTGATGTTTTATTCGTTCAATTGTTCCTATATAGAGGGGATATAGAAAAAATTCTATGTACTAAGCTAGTAGACTTGGCTAGTCGAGCATACGTAGTATCGAGGTCCTTTCCGACTTACACTGTCCACGTTGTGTATTCTTTCGTTCTTCCTAATAGCTAGGCACCACTTTCGAACTAAGCCTAGCAGCCTAAGCAGCTTTAAGTCTCAGACGGAGTAAAGCTGAAATTTCGTAGGGCCTCGTGCTATGCTCATTACGAATTTACCATATTATGTGTTTCAGCGCGTGTAGCGTTATTTATTATATAAATTTACTATCTGTTTGCTTAATACAATTTCGAGTACTCTCGAGTCGTTTCGACACTACGATATTGTACCTCGAATTTAGTAATAGCTAGAGACCAGCGTGTAGATATTCGAAGGAGCTTTCATTCTATCGATGGATAACGGGGATAAGCGAGACCATGTCGAGACAATGGTTTTGCGTATGGTACTGTCTTTGCGCGTGTATAATAATTTATATGTACTCGGCGTAGAGAGAATAAATGTAGACAAATAATATTGTGAGCAACAATGCGAAGCGAAAATTGAAGTGTTATGTTATCAAAATGTACAAGGTTCCCGTTTTAACTATATTATTTTTTAATGGCAAATTCTTCGGTCGATGTATGACAATTTGGAGACGTAAAAGTTTGAAAAGAAATTATTTTATTATCTTTTATTGTTCAAGTATCAACGTTTTTTCTGCTTATCATAATGATTTTATTATTAACGTTATATTTTTAATTTATATGAATTTTTACGTCATCGGGCAATAGAGTATTGCTTAAACAAATTTAAACATTACTTGAACAAATTTTTCTTTTATACCTGAGACTATTTATATCTTTTTTGTTTGTAATCTTTTCTCTCTAAAATTGAAAGCAAACACGATTTATTTTGTAACGTTTGATGAATATTTTAAGGAAATTGACTGGTCGGAAGATAATATAGTAAAAACGGAAACGCTCCGTATAAACACTCAGTACACACACACTACACACACACACACACACACACACACACACACACACACACACATACATCGCCGCTGTTTTACATGACATACCGCATAGCAATAGCAATAGCATTACGTCTACTCTACGCGAAGAGGAAGAAGAAGATGAAGAAGAAAAAGGAGAGCGCAAGATATCATGCTGTTGCGTAGATATCATTAGCCGTTTGTCTTAGATACACATACGGGTCTCGTAAGCCGTTTACGTGTTTAGAACTGACGGAATGATGCCATTTCTAATTATAGCGCGTTAGGCTCACTGAAAATCCTCGATTAAACTCGTCGACGAGAACGATCCGCAATGCGGGTCACGTAGACGTCGCCGTAAGGTATAATCGGCATTAGAATGGTCGAATGGATTTGACGTTAAGCGGATTTGTACCTAAGTCAAGGATAATGAAACCGAAAACGACAGACGCGTTAATTGTATTAATCGTCAACATCAACATCTCCGATACGTTGAATACGTTTTAACAACTTACAGGCACGCTCTCATTTTATACATGCGGAAATAAATTAATAAAAAAAGAATTCCTAATAAATAGTATCTTGTATCGACCGTTCT